CTGTATAAAGCATGCATCGTCAATAAGGTGTGTACTAATTTCATCTTTTAATATCACTGTTTTAAAGACACTTTAAGTGTTTTCACATTAAACGTTTTAGAATGTACCGCTGTTTTTTGTGTTTGAAATATTGCGACGGGTGCTTATATGGATTGCTAATGGCCACAACTTGCATTTTGTTCACATATCTTTGTTTTATTCTTTTGAGAGATGATCTAAACACTTTTGGATTGGAACAGATAGAAAGTTGACGGTCTTGTGCTGCAGTTCTATGGATGTTTTGCCCGTCAGGTCTTCGAAGCGGTCACGTGACTGAAAACTATCAATTGGTTATTTGCTTAATAATAAGCAAACTGGCCTTAAAGAAAAATATCTGTAGGCATTTGAAATAAAAGGCAACCACTGCATTTTAATCACATTCCAAACAAAGACTCGTGTTGCATGAGCAGTTGTTATTGATTTGAAATAGATTGTATATTTTCAGGATTTAAAGCAAAAGCAGAATGGTCTCACTTTAGCTTTGTGAAATGACGCTACATAAAACATATTTGCATTAAACAAAAACAGCAGACTGGCTGAATGAGACACAAATTGACTCTCTGACAGCAGGGGGCGCTTATGGAACAGCAGCAATACAGCATTTCCTTGATTACCGTTGTAAACAAAGCAGTGCTGCACATATAGACGCTCCTTTATACAGAGGTAAGAGGAAAAGAAAATGCCATTGCCATCGACACATTCATATATCCCCTCACCCCCAATTCAATATTTATATTTTCTTCCTATACTGTATGTCGAGCATTTTGAAAAGTGAGCTTGCTCTGCCTGTACAGTGTTTTTTCCTCTTTGCGTCCCTCTGTTTCTGGCCTCTCTTATGGTTTATTTTTCTTTATCACTGTCCCAGTAGCTCCAGAAAATAACAAAAAATAAGTGCAAAAAAGTAAGAAAAATAAGTACAAAAACTACAGTACAAAGAATGGAGAAATGTAATGTATTATTGTACTGGGACAGTGATAAAGATCTACCAGTCGATCACGATTGATTGACGGGTTGGCGACCACTGGTTTAGTCGATACAGGATTCAAATAGAAATCGATAAACTCTGCCACCCTGCAACTCTCACTCTCGCAGTCAGAGACTATAGAGCGGCCCGGGGGCATAAAAGGGGTATAAAAGGGGTGGGCCATTTGTCACCGGGCTTATGAACTTTTGGGAGTATATAAGAGCGTCTCGGCTTAGGATTGAGCTCCCCCAGTAAATAACTCGCCTGCCGTTGACAAATGAAACCCTCCTGAACCAAGGAACACACAACCCGCTCAATACGGGGAACAGAATCCTGAAAAATAGGGGCTGTCAACTTAATTAAGGGATGTGGATTTTTATTTTTTTTATTCTGTCACAGACCCTCCTGCACATATTGTGGCCTGTCCATAATCACTACCGCACTCCCCTTGTCTGCTGGTGTTATTACAATGTCCTGCCTACAAGATAATACCTCCAAAGCCGCCATCTCTTCCGGGGTCAAATTGGGAGATGGGACCCGGCCCCAAAAAAAGCCCTCTGCATTTTAACATGAAACCGACCCAAATCAGCCAAAAGGGACCCCCTGTCCAATGACATATTTTTAGTGAACAACGCAGCAGCGTTGATCTAGTGGCTTCAACTGGATACGCTAACAAAAGCATTATAATGCAACGACACTTACATCGTCATCGCATCTCGTGCGCCGCTGATAAGCTGCCTCCTTAACGCACACCTAAAATTCGAATGCAGCGTTTTTACATTCTAATGTGGATTTTTATTTAAAAATTTGACGAATATTCGAAATTGCCGGCTGACAGACTAAAGAAAGAAAGAGACATACAATATTGGCAGGATTACTAAAACAAAAATACATGCCCCTTTGTCCCATCCCCTTTATATGACTTACTGAAATATTATTATAACCTCAAGTTCAAAAGACATAATCAGATATAAAGTGGCAAATGTACAACATGCATAGCATACACTAAAAATCTTTTAATGTTTTTTAAAGGATTCTCTTCTGGTCACCAAGCCTGCATTTATTTGATCCAAAATACAGTAAAAGCAGTAATATTGTGAAATATTTTTACGATTTAAAATAGCTGTTTTCAACATAATAATAATATATTCAAATAGAAAGCAGTTGAGTAGAATTTTTTTCAGGTTTCTTTGATGAATAGAAAGTTCAGAAGAACAGCATTTATCTGAAATAGAAATCTTTCGTAACATTATAAATGTCTTTATCGTCACTTTTGATCCATTGAAAGCCTCCTTGCTAAATAAAAGTATTGATTTCTATAATTTTTTTCCCAAAAAAGAAAAAGAAATGATACTGACTCCAAGCTTTTGAATGGTAGAGTGTATAATGTTACAAAA